AACTCCGAGAGCCGTATTTATACGTTTTTATCAAGATGGGGAATTTTCAGGTAACTTTTCTCGATTTTATTTTATCTTTTTTTCTCATACCCGAGTATTCTTACCCTTGTTTTATATATATGTTAATATTTACTTAGATATAGAAAATATTTAATTTAGGGCAATATTTACTTAATTACAAAAAGTTTATGGAAATCAAGATGAGGAATTTTTAGTTATCTTTTCTCTATTTTATTTTATCTTTTTTATCTTTTTTCTCATGCCCGAGTATTCTTACCCTTGTTTTATATATAAATATATATATATATATGGTAATATTTACTTATTGTTAGATACAGAAAATATTTAATCTAGGGCGATATTTACTTAGCTACAAAAAGTTTATGGAAATCAAGATGAGAAATTTTCGGGTATCTTTTCTCGATAGCGGTAGGAATTTTATATTTTCTCTGTAGTCAGATTTAAAAATTATATCATTTATATTGTTTAAAAAATTCCCCTTCCACATTAAAAATTATATCGTTTATATTGTTTAAAAAATTCCTCTCCCACATAATTTTTATTATACTACACATGCATTTTCTCCCTATTACTTTATTGTTTAAAAATTCCCCTTCCGCATTAAAAATTATATCATTTATATTGTTTAAAAATTCCCCTTCCTCATAATTTTTATTTATCTGCGCATGCCTTTTCTCCCTACCACTTCTATTTTATCTTCTTATAAATTTTCTTGAAAATCTTCGCTCACTCGTCTTTCATCGTCCGGACTTTCAAGTTCGTTAGTAAAAAGATAGTTAGTAAAAAAGTTCTCGATTTTTCGATTTTTCCGCGTCTTTGATTATTAAATCTTTGATTTTCTACGCGGTAGCAACTACCATGAACAATCTTAAGAAAATCGAGCAACAACCGCGCATGTTGCTGTCAACAACATACGGATTGAATTCATCCTACACGAAGAAAATTCAAGTGGGTCTTATGACGGAAGACAACGTCGAACTGGATTTTCTACCTGCTGTTAAATTAACATCTCACGGAGCTGCAGGGATTTGCTTCGACATGGAATCGTGGCAAAAATTTCAAGAAAACATGGAAACGATGTCGAGCTACTTAAATGGTGATAAAATTAATTTGAGCTCGATCATCTTTAACAAGATAATTATAAATTTCACTACCGCATATGGTGCTAGAGCCATACTAATAACATATCGTGAAAACGAACAAGAAGATCTTTCTTCCGAAACTGCGGAGGATACGAACGAAAACGGACCGAAGGCGAAGAAACGTAAAACTTACAACATTGCGATAGTCATGCAGAGAACGACTTTTCAAGGTGTAGAAAATATAGTTAATTGTGTGAACGCTAATTTAAATCGTCTAAATTTTATTTCAACTAATGTCAACGAATGTGCTCGATATTTAATTAACGAAATACAGTTAAATCTTCCTGTCAACGGTAGCATTAATAGCAGTATCGTGAAACTCACGATCAGAGGTAACAGTAAGGAAATAGAACGTAATGTACGCACCCAACTGAAAGATTTAACATTTCTCGATGTATACTTCGAGATAACATTTTTAGAAATAATTTCACTTTATTTCGAACAAATTGTATATGCAATTATATCAAAACGTAAATTTTAATAATTATTCGACGAATATTTTTTTGAAATGATTGTGAATAATTTTGTTCTGTAAAATATTTTAAATATAAATCATATTTGTACTTTTAAAACCATTGTTCAATTTTCTTTCACTTACTCTTTCCAGAAATTTCCTCAACATGCATGTTCCTGTTTACCTTCATTAAGCAGCGAGTTATTTTAAAATAAAATTTTATCTGACATCTTTCTAATCTACGACGATGTATTATTATTTTTTATCGTGACGCGAGTCGGAATGCTCGCCTGTACAAATATTTGCGTGTTCTTTTTTATTACCCTACGCCATTGTCAGCTACTACCTGCCACCGGTCGACCGCACGACGCTTTTCTTGGCCAAAATGTTTTTACCCCACCCCGTCTAATATCGACCATTTGATTCGACGAGCTATCCTTGCCATACGTATACCCGAACTGTTTTTACCCCACCCCCGTCCAATATCGACCATTTGATTCGACGAGCTATCCTTGCCATACGTATACCCGAACCCCCATGCCGTACTCTACGCAACTTTAGCTTAAATACCACATCTAATCCTTAGACTAGTAAGATCTCGTTTAGCTCAACATACTAGGACCCTGCTCGGAAACACGGAGGTCCCGGGTTCAAATCCAGAGAAAATCAGAAAAAATAAAAAATAAAAATTCTCATCCCCACCTTTCGGGGCCAGTCGCCATTTTTTTTTCCCCCAACACCCTTTCCCCCTAACACCCACACTCGGAAAAGCCAGACGCCGGTGGTGGGGGAAAGATAAGATAAGACCCGGCGCCAGACGGGTCGGTGGTGGGGGTTTGTTTTGACGGGCCATACCTGCCATTATACTACTTCTGTGTCAACTTTTTCTTTTTCGAAATCCTGCAACTTTTATCTAAATTTAATAGAAAATGTATAAAAATGCTCGACATTAGTACACACACACACACACACACATATGGGTAAATTTATATAAATAGGGTGCTTTAGGAGGAATGATCAGGATTCTAGGATATGATTGTACACATCATTTTAAGCAAAGAAGTTTAGATAAACATGTTTAATAATTGTTCTATTCCGGTCATAAAAATATACAAAAATGAATGATATAATCTCTAAAAACTCACCTTTAAAAAAAGGTAAAAAAAGGCGACCAGTTAAGGGCACGCCATTAACAAAAATTATCCATTGCAAACCCATGTAGAATCCTATCCTATTGCAAACCCATGTAGAATCCTATAAAAAATTAATCATTGCAAACCCATGTAGAATCCTAGGCAAAATTAACCATTGCAAACTCATGTAGAATTGTCTTAAAAATGATCCATTGCAAACTTATGTAGAATCCTACATTGCAAACCCATGTACAATAGAATTGTATGAAAAATTATCGATTATAAATTCATGTACAATCGTAACAAAAGTAATGAAATAAAAAAAAATTGCGCCAAGTGAAAGTAGAAACTTGTACCAGTGGAAAATTAAAGTTGCAGACATATATAGAGTCGTATAATGAATCAGTAAAAATTTAAATTTGCAAATGTAGAATCGTACCATAAAAAAACTTATCTTTAAAAAAAAAAGATAAACAAGATGCCAAGTCCATGCGCCATGTAAAAAAGAAATAAAAAAATTTTAGTTAAAAAAACTGGGAGCGCTGCTAAATAATATTCTAACAATATTAAAATTAAATTGTTACTTTTAAACTCATTTCAGTTAAAATATGTTTTGTGTTTAAATTAATTAATGTTACTTTAAGGTGCATTGTAATTTTGAAACTTAGCAGCGCGCCCAGTTTTTTTAACTAAAATTTTTTTATATCTTTTTACATGGCGCATGGACTTGGCATCTTGTTTATCTTTTTTTTTAAAGATAAGTTTTTTTATGGTACGATTCTACATTTGCAAATTTAAATTTTTACTGATTCATTATACGACTCTATATATGTCTGCAACTTTAATTTTCCACTGGTACAAGTTTCTACTTTCACTTGGCGCAATTTTTTTTTTATTTTATTACTTTTGTTACGATTGTACATGAATTTATAATCGATAATTTTTCATACAATTCTATTGTACATGGGTTTGCAATGTAGGATTCTACATAAGTTTGCAATGGATCATTTTTAATACAATTCTACATGAGTTTGCAATGGTTAATTTTGCCTAGGATTCTACATGGGTTTGCAATGATTAATTTTTTATAGGATTCTACATGGGTTTGCAATAGGATAGGATTCTACATGGGTTTGCAATGGATAATTTTTGTTAATGGCGTGCCCTTAACTGGTCGCCTTTTTTTACCTTTTTTTAAAGGTGAGTTTTTAGAGATTATATATAAATACTGTACTGACATCGTTTACTCAGCATTGGAACATAAGATTTATGGGATTATTCAGGCCTCAAAGTTAATAACATTGGAATTTAATCCGAACGCAATCGAAACGAATCAAAATTTTACAATAATAGCAGAAATGGGGGGCTATGCATATTCTCTGTGCATTGATTGGATTCGTGGCAGTCTTTATTGGTTAGAATATGATATTGACGATCATATTTACATTATGAAATTCGACTTAATATTACTACAACAAAAAGGCATCAAAGCATACAAAAAAATCGCATTTGCTGCAAAGTCTGATATATTTTTAACAGTATTGCCATATAAGAGGTACGTTAAATTTAATTAATCTAACAAATTGAACAATATATTGTGTCTCTTTTAATTAAAGATTTGTGTTGTTCTATAACTTGCCAATTTAATATGCAGATTTTGTATTGAAGATCCATAAGTAATGGAATCATAAATTTACATAGAAACGTATAAGATATAAATAATCACATATTAGTATGTGATAGATAATTATAATAATGTTTTAATAAAAGTGAGCAATATAAATATTTTTCAGACATTTCTATTAGACAGAACATTCTTCAATAGTGCAAACGGATTTCAATGGTAGAAACAAATTATATATGACAAACAATAAATGCTTCTGCCTCAACACATTTTTAGGATTGCAAATTAAGTACACTATCATGACGATTGATACAACAAATATTGACGAGCCGCTAATATATTGGATAATAAACGATGAATATTTAATCGTAACGGATATTAATGGTTGTAATTGCAAAGTTTTAAGTCTTCGAAATCAATCAATTTATCATTATCGTTATTTATATATTGATAGTAAAAATATTTACTTAATTTCTTATCAAGAAATACATATTTTAAGAAAGGGGAATGCTCTTTTCCAAAGCAAAAAAAATTTATATGAATGTCTTCCAAAAATCCATTTTGGAAAGGGCATTTTCTCTCGTATCGTACCTATTGATAAAACTTTACAATTATATCCCCCGAAGATATGTCTAATACCTACCAAGGATTATCGTGTTGAAGAAGTGCTAATAACTGCAAACAGCATTAAGGTGAACCTTCCGGAGCCGAATCCCAATGACGAATGTAAAAAGTACAATTTTACTTTATATATAACATCTCTGTGAGTTATTTAAAATGTTTAGACAATGATCTTAACAAATTTGAGAAATTTCATGTTCAAACGTACGAACGGCAGTACGAATTCCAAAATTTGACGCAGTTGACAGAATACACGTTAAAGCTGGCATTGAGCAATTTTTACATCTACAAGATATCGATGGATTTGCAATTCGGCCCAGATGTAAAACTGATAACTACGGGCAAGCTCTATGCACCGGATGATGTAGTAGTTCAAGTTGTAATGCCAAATCTGGCGGTAATTGATTGGATGCCACCGAAAAAATTAGGTTGCGTGGCAGTGAATTATGAGGTGAAAATGGTAAAATATCCAAATAGCACTCAAGAAAATCAAAATTCGTTTCGCTTCATAAAAGTCAATAAACTAGAACGTACGACAAATGACAAGTTTTTCGCGGTAATTTCGTCACTGATACCAAAGCAAAAATACGAGATATACGTGAGTGTGTATCCAATTATTCGCACAGATGTCGTCACTGACAGTGTAATAAAAACAGTCTACATGTCCGAACCAAATAATTTAAGTTTGAATGGGATCGATACAAACAGATTATGAATATCTCGTGGATACCAAGCGTTAATCTGACGATTCCTACTGAATTCCTTATACTAGAATACAAAAATGCTGCGTCACGAAAGAGGATATGGGAAATTGCGAATAATATTAAGGGAAATAATGATAAAATAACATATCACATAGAAAATTTATTGCCGCAAACTAAGTACAAATTTCGTTTGAACTTAAAATATACTGAGTGTAAAGAAGATTTCATATGGCCGTCTGATGGAGAAGAATTTATTTTGAAACGCTCGGTAAGCAAATGAAGACGTTATGATAACATATGCTTACTTTAAGAATCTTAAAAGTTTTTTTGCATTAAAAATTGAATAACGAAATTTTAAGTAAAATGTCTTAATAATAATTGATAAATATGTGCATAAAGAATTGCCAAATAAAATTAAAAATAAATTAATGAACACTCGACCAAACTGGCATCATTTTATTAATTCACTTTACAACGTTTCAACCATGATTCAGGTCCTCAGCAAGTAATTTGCGAAATGTAGTTTAAATTTTAAGAAACTTACTTCCTTAAATTATAACTACATTTCACAAATCACTTGCTAAGGACTTAAATCATGATTAAAACGTTGTGAAGTAAATTAATAAAATTTTGCCAGTTTGGTCGAGAGAAGAGTGTTATTATTTCATTTTTGAGAAATATGTGTCGACCAACTGGCAATTTATTAATCTTATTACGTTTCAACCTTCCTTGGTGTCCATTTCAAGTAATGTAGTTCTTAGATATTAAGATAAAATATCTTAAGTAAAAAGTCCAATGAAACGAAGAATTGTACTCTTGTGTAACAAAGGTGATGCAAGAAAGATTCTTAGCGCAACTGGGACAGCTATGCAATATTATCTGCCATTAATATTATGTCTTATTGTAATCATTGTAATATACAATGTTTACTACTTTTATTGTAGTAAGTATATTTCATATAAATTTTGGATTTTTATTATAAATTGTTTAGATTTGGTATATAGATATACGAACATATAAAATTTGAAAAAGTCGGCATTATTTCTTAAAAAAATTAAGATATTGCAATGCGTAGCATTATGTCGTGTATTAAATATTTTTTATATGACAGCATACAGGCAACGCAAAGAAAGCAACGAAATAGTTTCGCCTCTAATAATGATGAATACGGAATTAGTACCTTTAAATAAAATACCTTTTGGGTGCACTCAACTAAATTTGCTGAACCCTCCTAGATTGCAATTTAATTCAGACGAATTTGCGTTGACAATAATAAAAAAAAATCAAATTATCCAAACAAAGTTTCTAGGTAGCGGCGCATTTGGTAATGTAAGTATTAATTTCTTATTACTTAAGTATATTCTTAAATATATTTTTTATTTTTAATCGCCTAAATTCATGGTCAATCATATTTTTAAATAAAAGTAATTGTTAAAATTAAAATTTCTCTGAAAAATTCAAATAGGATAAACATTTTTAGCATACATTTATCGATTTGTCTGTTAATTATGTAATATTTCACAGGTATATCAAGGAATTATCAAAGATTTTGAAGGATCGGACACAACACCAGTTGCGATAAAAATGCTAAAAAAAGAAGCTTCTTCGAAAGAGAAAAAGGAATTCTTGAAAGAGGCTAAACTTATGAGCCACTTTCGACATGAAAATGTGCTAAGAATATTAGGCATTTGTATGGACACGGATTCACCGTTGCTTATGACGGAATTAATAGAACCTGGTGACTTATTGAATTATTTAAGAAATAATGGAACATTGCAATCGTCAGATTCGCGCGCATTGGGTCTGCAAGACTTGCTTGCCATGTGCGAAGATGTTGCTCGAGGCTGTGTGTACTTAGAAAGACAGCAATTTGTGCATAGAGATCTCGCGTGTCGAAATTGCTTAATATCCGTAAGAAATCATGGAAACCGTATTGTGAAAATCAGCGATTTTGGACTAGCTAGAGATATTTATTCAGATCACTATTACCGTACGGTAAATACAATTATTTGAGAGAGCTAAAACTTTTATTCTATTTTTTTATAATAATACAATTTTAAGCTGATTATAATAGTAAAAGTAATTATTTTTATTTGTATACCTGTGGAAGAGAAAGGAAATGAGGGTTAACTATATGCAGATAACGCTTGTTTCTAAATTTCTGGACAAGTTCGATAAAAATGTTTATTGTGCTATATGATTGTGTTTTAGGTAGGAGAACGCATGCTTCCTATTCGCTGGATGGCACCGGAATCTTTAGTGTTTGGAATATTTACTTCAGAAAGCGATGTATGGGCTTTCGGGTACTAATGTGGGAAATTATGTCATTGGGTGAACATCCTTATCCTGCCAAGAATAATTCCGAAGTTTTAAAGTATGTGCGTGAGGGAGGCAAACTGCCAAAAACCTCTCAACTGTCCACCGATGTTGTATCAGTTGATGCTACATTGTTGGAAATCTGTAATCGGTAGACCAAACTTTACAAATTGTCTCAAAAATATCAAAACCTTAAGAAATAACGTAAAAGATTCGATACTTATAGTTAATGCGTTGGATATTATCGGACGTAGTGAGACGAATCAATCGTAATTATTTTTATGTGTATATAGTTTTGTATGGAGCAATGAATTTTACAAATCTAGATAATATCTATTAAGATATATTGCTTATTTACTTTTTTTACATTTTATAATACAGTTAATGGTTATATTTAATCATTCTTTTTACTAATATTACAATTCAAGTCATAAACTTTATTTACAATTTGTTGAAATTGTATTTGTTTATTATGTATATATTTTTTTAAATATAAATATGATATTTTAAATCGGCCAATAGAGCCTAAGCGTGAAAAATTAATTCTTCGGAACTGTATCTCTTGGTTTGAGATTACTAAGTTCCATATATAAATTAATATCGAAATTACATATGGAGAAATATGGAAAAATCTAACATCTACTAAAAGGCAAATGAAAAATATAGGATCGAAAGGGTCTGAATAGTTTGTTGGTAAGAGCAGTCGCCCGGAAAGTGAAACACGCGGGTTCGATTCTCGCTTCAGCGACTTTTCGGACCTATATTTTCCTCGCCTATTTCTCCATATGGAAGTTCGCGATTAATTATATGGAACTTAGTAATCTCAAACCAAGAGATACAGTTCCGAAGAATTAATTTCTCGCGCTTAGGTTCTATTGGCCGATTTAAAATATCATATTTATATTATTATTAATATTGAGAGCCGATAAAAATATTTCTTATCTGATATTTTTTTAACTTACAGTTATAGACAATACTGCATCAAGTGGCATTTAAAATGTAATTTATAATTATTATAAAAATAATTTACGAGAATAATGTTATTTACAAATTACATGTCAAAAATGCAAACTGATAATATAAGTTTTCTTTTCAATTATGACTTAATTATCCATACATTGTTTTTTATTTACTATTGATGCATTTATTCATTATTTCCCTTTTGTTATATTAATAATTTACCATGTACGCATTTTACATAAAGAATTCAGCATTCGAAAAAAAATTTCTTAGATTTGATTAGTTTTGGTATGCACTCCGTTGCAGTTAAAATAAAGAAAGTATTTATATTTACAATTTTATATGGAGAATAAAGGAAATACGAAAATATATTCAATATTTGTATATAAGGTTCAAATATATAATAGATAAATCTTTACAAAGTAGATAATCATTTATATATGTATAATTTTTGAAGCTACTTTATTTGTCGAATTTTAATTATATTATTTGTCGCACATATAAATTTATACTGTCAGTATTTGTTGCATTTAATTTAAAATGGCGACAAATATTGTTTCGATTGTAGTTAATGCAATAAATAAATTGACAAGTTTAACTTGTAAATATTCGATCAACGTTTTGTATAATGTCAATCTCTAAATAATAGCAAGATAATTTTAATGATCTGCAAACGTATTGTAAAAGAATAAGTGAATTTACTACATCGGAAAATAAAATATTATCTATATTATTCATGATAAATTTTCATGCAACAAATATAAAGAAAAAATCTTTCATTGATGGATAGCTTAGATCTTTCTAAGTAACGTAAACTACATGCAATCGTATTACAAACTTCTAAAAATGTGCGCGTATTATACAAAAAAAATTGTACGCTTTTTATTTTTCCAACAATTTTATAATTTTAACGTTGTACCGTAAATAATTCATACTATATTTAATACAAATGTAGGGTGAAAATTTATCAAAATTGGTCCGTGTAGGTTTACGTTAATTATTATATTATTGGAAATATAAAAAGTAAAGAACCCATTTTTTATGACGCGTACATTTTTTAGAAGTTGCAAGACGATTGTACGCATAATCTGTTACTCAGGAGGATATACACCAGTAAGACATTATAATCTCAAATTATCCCACAATAGAACAAACAAACTTTACCTCTTAATATGTAGATTAGTCTAGATAGAGATAGAAGTATAGATAAGTAAGTATAGGACTTGGCTGAAAGCTACTCGCCTTTTTGCTACGTAAAAATATAAAATTAATAAAGCAAATAGAAAAAAAATAAAGAAAACACATAAAAAAAAAAATTTAAATAATAAAAAACATGAAAATAAAGAAAAATCTTTAAAAACTAACATATGTAGATTATTAGTTCAAATTTAAAAAGTATTAATAGTATAAAAAATATTTTCGCAACTCTAAATAAATAAAAACATAAAAGCTTTAACATACTAAAAACGAAAGTATATTAAAAATAAATAAGATATAAGAGCGAAACGCGGATGACGTTAATTACACCGAGAATTAATTTTTTGCTGTAACTAATTAATGTGCGCCAACACAATATTTTCTTAGCATACTATTAAGATTTATTTCAGGAAATGTATCTCAATCCGAAATTACTACACGGAAAAAAAGAATTAGCTACTATTGCTAAATTTTAGCTGTCCATATATAACAACCTGAATTTAGTTATCGTGCCTAAATTTTAGCTATGGTACTAATATTTTTTTAACCATAGTTTAACGCGAAGAATTGTATAACTAAAAAGATATTAATTGTCATAGCTAAATTTAAGCAGATAACTAAAATTTTATGTGTAATATATGGACAGTTAAAATTTAGCTATGATAGCTAATTTTTTTTCCGTGTAAATTGCTTATTCTTCCTAACCCTTTTGTAGAAAAAAGACGAGAATAATATTGGTCCGCAAGTCGTTGAATCAAAAACTGAATCCGAGTTTTTCAAATTTAAATTTGAATAATTGTTATTTACTCATCCTTATAAATCCGCAACTACATACCGAGTGCGCGGAGCACGTAGAACAACTCAGTGAGAAATTCGTCGAATTGATGACGATTCGATCAATCATTTCTCATGGGATGCGTTAGCTAACAATTTATAATCTATACGAATGATCAGTGCTGGATCGAGATATTTTCTCCATCCGAGGCATTATAGTAATTGACGCCTCCTTTCTTTACATACGCACAAACGCATGTCAAAATAACATACGCTTGGTAGGTACTTGAACTGCGACATGTTAATATCATTTTCGCATTTTTATAAAAAAACTTTTT